GCCACCTTAGGTGTATGTGGCTGGCGCCTTAGCCACGTAAGCCACAGGCGCGAGCCAAGAAACTGATTTTTCAAAGGGCAAAAAACAAGTTGGTTTAGGCTGTGACATGGATAGCATGTGCAAGTATTATATGTCTTGGGAATTTGCCCATATGTCCAAAGTAAATAAGTAAATTTTTACCCTGTTCTAGTTACTGACTTTATTGGGCTTAGAAGATTTATACTCTTCAACACGCATCACGTTGTTAAAATACCAATTTTTTTTCCAGACACCAACTTTAATAAAGCCTGATTTACTATGTCCTAGTTTGGTTGCACCATTCTTTGAAAATTTCCCTCTTAGCCTCACTATTACACTAGACTTGATCTGTGATGAACATATAAAGTAACTGCAGATGGACCTGTCTTTCAGGTAATCCTCAAATGAAATTAGATGAAGACTGAGAATTCATACAGCCCAGAGGATAATACTCACCTCTGTCTTGTAAGGACTGAGATCCCAGAGATTCATGCTTGAGCAGAGCTTTCATTGGCTGGAATTGGCTACTTTGAGGTCCCTGAGCTGTTGTCAACAGTGCTACCTTGCAACACAGCAGTTCTTGCCTCTGGTCACCACATGGGACCTAGAAATCATTCATTTATTTTTATTATCTAGCAAACATTTTTATCATGTTTTCCATGTGTGAGTACTTTCTATTTTATAGGTATTCTTTATCCATGAGGTTTATGAATATTAGCTCAAACAAAGACAACCACCCTATGAGCTATTAATTTATATTTTTGTGATGGAGAGACTGAGGCACAAAGTTTAAGCAGCTTGCCCACATCAGCCAGCTAGTAAGTGCCAATGCTAGGACGAGAGCTGAGGCAGAATGATTCCAGAGCCCATGTTCTTAACTACTGCTCTATGTTTCCTCATATATACATTTGTGCTTTTATGATAACTCTTTGGAAACTGGTGTTAAGTGCTCAAAGAACATTAATACCTTTGCTCATCTTAAAAATGAAGATAATAGGCTCGGCGCCTGTAGCTCAACCGGCTAAGGCGCCAGCCACGTACACCTAAGGTGGCGGGTTCGAATCCCCAGCCCGGACCCGCCAAACAACGATGACGGCTGCAACCAAAAAATAGCCGGGCGTTGTGGCGGGCGCCTGTGGTCCCAGCTACTTGGGAGGCGGAGGCAGGAGACTCGCTTGAGCCCAGGAGTTGGAGGTTGCTGTGAGCTGTAATGCCACGGCACTCTACCCAGGGGGACAGCTTGAGGCTCTGTCTCAAAAAAAAAAAAAAAAAAAAAAAAAAAAGAAGATAATAACTTCTAGTTTATGAGGTTTGAGAGACCAGTAAATAAGATCACAGTATGTGAAATCACCTAACACAGGACTTGGCACATGGAATGTGTACAGGTTTCTTTCTAGACATTTATATGCAGGTTATGAATGACATAGGTTCTGTAGGTTTGTTCTTAAGTTGAATTTGTATGTAACTTGAAACAGTTACACTGACCTATTATCTTTAATTGCCTCTGTTTGTAACTGTGAGTTGTACCTCAGTGGGATGTTTGTAATTCGGGGACTCCTGGATAGTGAAATTTCAGTTTTCAAGTTACTTTCTCATATGCAGCTCAGAATTTCCTACTTCTTTTATAGATAATGAAGCTAAGAGACTTGCAATGACTTTTCACTGTTACATGGCTCAGATGCCATAGATCCAAGTTCAGAACCTTGGTTTCCTGGCTACTAGTTAGAAGGCTCTGGTCACATGTCTTCTGAAGGCATGTGCACAAGGATGAGGATGATGCAAAGTGTAAACAGTCTCAAAACAGGGAAGAAGATGGAGGCAAAAAGCAACACATTTTCCACCAGCGCTTAATAACCATGGATTATCCATGGATTTGAATAGGAAAAAACTATTTTTACTTTTACTGACCTTTAAGAGAAATTCAGCATTTCCTTCCTTTATGAATGGAAGAAACAACCAATGTGGCGCAAGTGGCACCCAGGACTCTGTCACCAATAGAAACTGCAGATGTTTTCACATCACATTATAACCAGGTAAATATAGTCAAAAAAGTTATTCACGCTTATTACCACTTTGAAATTCCCAGTTATTGGCCCTGTCCCTAGGTCTTACTATTTAGTGCACTAATTTAAAAAAGCACATATATAATTTTATCACGTTGGTTTAATACTTTGTTAACTGTATTTCAAAATAATCGAGTTTTTGGTAATCCTTTCAATTTTTCTTTATGTATTTAAAAATAGTATTATGAGAAGAAGCCCAGTGACTTCACCTTGCTGCCACAGAGGTTTGCCAGTACAAAAAGAGATCAAGAACTGCTGGATCTTAAAGGAATGCCCCTCACTTTGATCCTGAGATTTCAGGAAGAAACAGACCACAGCTCGCAGATACTAAACCTGTTCTTTCTACCTGCGGCATCGGTTCATCCAGCTGCTTCTCCAAATACTCCAACAGCACCACCACCTCCTCCCCACTCTCCGGATGCTGCTCCCGCACCCAGCTCTGCAGGTCCCCCGGCAGGATGGTCAGGAACTGCTCCAGCACCAGCAGCTCCAGGATCTGCTCCTTGCTGTGCATCTCAGGCCGCAGCCACTGTTGGCAGAGCTCTCTGAGCCGGTTCAGTGCCTCGCGGGGCCCCGGAGCCTCCAAGTAGCGGTAGCCTCGGAAGCGCTGGCGGGAACACTCCGAGCCCAGAGCCGGGCTACTGGGTGAGCTTGCGGCGGAGGCTTCTTCCTTCTCCACCTTTACCATCAGGAGCCCGCTCTGCTCCTCCGCAGACTGGGCGTCCGGGGCTGCATTTTTTCTCAGTTCTCTAGCCATCCTAAGCCAAGGCCGTATTCAGGCCGTAACTCTAGTTGTGACTTGTATATTTCCAAAGGATTCTTGAAAGGTAGGAAATCGCTAATTTGCCAGAAAAATTGCAAGTGGTCCGCTCCTCTCATGCCAGTGTGGCACGGCTGCACAGATCTCTTCTACCGTCCACGCCTTTGCAGCATCCTCTTTTGCACCCCACTCTCAGTCCCACGAGTATCCTCAAAGGATGTCCTTGAGGTGAAAGTGATCCCTCCCCAGACACTGGAGAAAAGTTGAGGCTGAGGCACAGGAAACCTCGGTGGGAATCAAAGCCACTTCCTGGGCTCTCTAGGAAGCTTCTCTCGGTGGTTGTCCCAATTTAACCCATTAGGAACCCTGTCCTTACTTCTACTCAAGGGAAGGCGTATGGGAAGAAGAAAGAAAAGATCACAGATCACTCCTGGTCATGAGAAATAGAACTAAATAGTTAAATCTAGAAAGGATGCTGCTGTAGCCTTCAATTCTTTCTGATGTAAAACGCGCCTAAGAAGCTGACATAAAAATGACACTAAAATTCAGTTGGAAAGCATGGATTCCCCAGGGCCCTTAGAAGTCTGGAAAGATGACCTTCAGTCTCTCTCAGAAACATCGAATTTATCACTAGCCTGGAGAGAGTAGTTGCTGCCCTCCCCCCCTTTGTCAATTTTTTTCTCCTCAAGGCCAAACTACTTCAAAGAAAGCTCTCCCCACCTGACTCTGGTCCTCTTCTCCCACAACTCCTTAACATCTTCTAGGCAGACAATTGCTAGCATAGCCAATGTGATTGTTCCTGAAAAAATAACCAGAGATTCCTTCTCTCCTGGCCACCAAGTTACCACTTTCTACTTTCCATGACCTCTTTTCAGGCAACCAGGCTTTCAGGGACTCCACTTTACTCTAATTTCTTCCTTTGTGTTTCTTCCCAGCCAACATTCCCCATCTAGCATAGTGGTTAGACACAGGGTAATCCTGGCTCTATCACTAACTAGCTGGGGATCTTGATAAATTACTTAATCTTCCTATGCCTGACTTTCCCAAACTATGTGAGGAAATAGATAGGGATGTTGTGGGCACTAGTAGGGATTATATAATAATTGTGAGCACTATTGTGTTCTTAGAATAATGCCTGGCATGTAATAATCTGGGACTACCCTATAATAGAAGAAAGCTTAGAGATTTCTTTGCACCAGATAATACTAGTTGTCTAGCCATAAGTGACTGAAAGTTATTTGGCTGAAGTATCAGTCAGTAAACCCTTTTCTACCCAGTTTAGTAGGTTAAATAGGGGGGGAAATACCATGTCAGCATCTTGTTGAGTTTTTGTTCCTCAGCCTATTCCTCTACCATTTAATAGATAACAAGAGAAGGGAGAGGACTTAATAAAATGAGTGGTCCAAAAGGCTGTTGTAAATGAAAACTACTACAAAGTACTTTTCCTCTTGATGAGTTGCCACAAAAGGTACAGAGCACTGTCCATAAAGTATTGTTAGCAATACAAGTGAACCTGAATCTAATTGTTTCTCGATCCTAACATTTTTGTACAAGTGATACATAGAAACAAGTTAAGTTAGCAGGTTTCAAACTCTGTCACATTAGAATCATTGGGGAGCTTTTAAAACATCAGGATGTTTTTAAAATGTTTAAAGTCAGAATGTTACAGGATGTGACTTGGGGATAAATAACTTTTAAAATTTCTTAGGTGATTCCAATATGCATCTGAGTTTGAGAATTAGGAATTAAATGGTACTTAAGAAAAGCAATCAGTCAAATTGATAATGTGGGACATTCTATAAGACAGAAGACCAAAGTTCTTCAACACATAAATAGCATTTAAAAAATGCAGGAAAGAAAGGAGAACTTTCATAGACTGAAAGAGACTGAATAATGGCCAGGTGTCGTGGCTCATGCCTGTAATCCTACTAGCACTCTGGGAGGCCCAGGCAGGTTAATTATCTGAGCTCATGAGTTTCAAGATCAGCCGGAGCAAGAGCAAGACCCCATCTCTAAAAATAGCTGGGCATTGTGGTGGGTGCCTGTAGTCCCAGCTACTTGGAAGGCTGAGGCAAAAGAATTGCTTGAGCCTAAGAGTTTGCAGTTGCTATGAGCTATGACGTCACTAGCACTCTGAGGGTGAAAAAGTAAGACTGTCTCAAAAAAAAAAAAATTGAATAGACTGAATATCACCCAAGTGCAACAGTAAACCTTGTTTGGACCCTGATCTGAATAAAACAACTGGGAAAACAGAAACACAATTATATTAAGGAATTACTGTGAAGTTAGTTGTCATAATGATACCATGGTTATGTTTTCTAAAAGTCTTTATTTGTTAGAAATTCATACAGAAGTACTTGTCTTTGTGAGTGAACTGATAAAATGCCTGGGATTTGCTTTAAAATTCTCTGCAAAGAAAATGGTGCAAGCATGACAATTATTGAAGTTAGGTGAGAAGCACATGGGGTTCAGTGTAATATTCTTTCTACACTTAGACATGTTTGACATTTTTGAGAGTAATTTTCTTTTCAATTAAATGAAATCCTATCTTCCTTCTTTCCTGAATAATCATTAGTTAGGACCAAATAAGGTGGAGAAGAGGTGGCAGTCTAGCCCAGAGTGAGTTTAGGGCCTAGAAGAGTTAAGAGAGTAACCACATGGGTGAGGGGAGAGAGCTATGGTAGGAAAACTGACAACATACATTGCTATCATCTAATAATATTTCACTGACCCCATTTCATTTTCACCAACCATACAATTTGAGGTCTGAGCCCAAGAAGAGGGAGAAGACGTGAGGAAATTGATTATATGGAGGAAGACTTGATCAAATGAACAAATATAGTCATTCCTTGATATTCTCAGGGAATTAGTTCTAGATCCCTCAAGGATATCAAAATCTGAGGATGCTCTAGTCTCTAAATAAAATGGCAGAGTATAGTATACACTAGGGTGACCAAAAGTCCTGCTTTTGAACAATTTGTCCCGCGTCCTGCGGCATTTTAAAAAAGTCCCGATTTTTGGAAAGAATGCACGAATGGGCGGAAGAACAGGAAGGGAATATACGGTTTTCGGCTGCCATGTGGCTATTTCGCCTGAATATGAGTTTTATATTATTTTTGTTAATTTTATAATGTTAAACTGTAATAATAACAAATAATTGTTGAGAAGTGATTATTGAGAACCGCTTATGAAAGTTTGCATTGTTTTCAGGCCCTGCCCCGTCCCCTGCCCCGCCCCCACCCCCCCATGTTGTCCCCCTTTACCAATGTTAAAATCTGGTCACCCTAGTATACACCTATAAACTATGCCCCATATACTTTAAATCTTCTCTAAATGTACTTATAATACCTAATACAGGCTCAGCCCCTATAGCTCAACCGGCTAAGGCACCAGCCACGTACACCTAAGGTGGCAGGTTCGAATTCCCAGCCCGGACCCGCCAAAACAACAATGACGGCTGCAACCAAAAAAAAATAGCCAGGCGTTGTGGCAGGCGCCTGTGGTCCCAGCTACTTGGGAGGCGGAGGCAGGAGACTCGCTTGAGCCCAGGAGTTGGAGGTTG